TACACGCAACGTAGCCTGAATCTGTAGAGAAACATTTTTCTCACCCTTGTTACCGTAGTTATCACATAACAAGTCCTGGTTCTGTTAGGAATCAGAGTGGTAATTAGCGATCCCTTTACAGCTTGGCAGAGGAGAGAACCTCTTCCCACACTTGCGTTATCGTATTTGCCACGCAACATAGCCTGGATCTTTAAGGGTTCAGAGTGGTAATTAGTGGTAGGTTTGCAGGTCTTACACGGGAATGTTCTACGCAATGGACTTATGAGAAACTTTGTGATTTAGTATTGGTATAATAACTCTCATGTTTCACTAACAAAAATAATGGTCGGACCTTTATCCTTCTACCTATTTCATCAACTACATAGTACTACTTCTATTATAACACTCGTTCACGAATTTATATTACTACGAAATAATATATTTGATCATTAGGAAAGCTTTTCGTAGCCATGGCTCTTATCAAGGATTTCTTTATAGTGGGTATAAATGGTTAAAGTACACTTTGTATATTGGATTCCTGCTCTAATTTAAGGCTTCGGTGTTGTTCTCTTTTTTTGGCTATTTCTCCTCAATTATTAGTTTTGCAAGACCAGAAATCGATTCATCGAAATGTACTATCACGGTCAAGTATTTAAAATAAATTGTTGATCATTATTTCTGATTACAGGGTTCTGAGAATTTTATTATAATCGCAGAAAGCAGGAAAGTTGAACTTTCTACGGGTTTTGGCTAAGGTCAACATTATTGATTTTTGAAAAAAAAGATAGTTTAGGTAATAGTATTGTAACAATGTATATATATGATTCTATATTACAATCAATAAAGCAAAATGTGTTAATACGTTTTTTTACACATTGATATTTTTTTTAAGTTGTATTATATATGTTAATATGGAAATATGACAGAGTTTTTTGCATTTTTTTTTCATGATGTCCGTTATGGAAATTTCTAATTTGAAAAATGTTAGAAATTATTAGATACGTAAACTAATGAATGTAGTTTCGAGCTTTTAAAAAGGCGAAGGATAAGCGATCAATTCACGGTTGTCATATTAAAAGAATTAAGCTCATTAGATTTGGATCCGTGGAGCAGTGAATATTTTGTTACACAAAATCTGTGAATAGTCAAGAATTATATTATAAACATTTGTATAAATATTCTTTGTAAATATCCGTGTAAAATATCTGTGTGAATATTTTGTATGAATATTTCTGTACGAATATCCGTGTAAATAACTGTGAATATTCTGTGCGAATAGTTGATAAATCTGAGAAATGAGATTATCTGAATAACCGCGAATTCTCTATGAATAACCGCGAATCCTCTATGAATATCCACGAATTCTCTGAATATCCACGAATTCTCTAAATATCTGCGAATTCCCTGAATATCCGTGAATTCTCTATGAATGTCCATGTAAAATGTGTCCATGAATATTCATTAAATAGCAGTGATAGATATTCAAAGGATCCCAACACTAAAGCTCATTATCGAAATTGATGTTGAGGCTAAGAATACATCATCAGAAACATGAAAAAGAATTTTTAGCAGATGAATTCATTGCAATTTTAATGGCTACTAGGAATTAGAACTAGGGTTGAAAATTACATTTTACAAACTTACAATATATGTAATTTCATGTAAGTTTCAGTAACATGGATTTCATGTAAATTTCACACGTGAAATATAGTACCAGCACTATGAAAAACTCGGCTAGCATTATTGAACTACAGAAATTCTGCAAAAAGTTCACTGATCAAATCGATGTACATATGGGGTCTTTGCAGTAGAAAGGGCCGAAACTCCTTTAAAAATTAAAATTGAGTTTTTTTTTTAATATTCAAATTAACTTACTTTAAGGCGGACTGCATTTTTCAAT